GGAGATGGATAAAATGCTAAATGAATCTTCTTTGCCAAGCAATGGAGGACAAAGACCGAATACAGTTCAAAATCCCATGGTGCAACCCTCAAAGATTCCTCTGGCAGTGTTCCAAACAGCTGGGTCTGGTGTTTCCATTGCAGTATCAGAAGAAAAGGTCAAGGAGATGGGAAAGATGCTCAGCAAATCATCTTCATCAATTGCTGTGGCACAAAGACCACCAAAAGTGCAAAAGTCCATGGTGCAACCCTCAAAGACTTCTCTGGCAGTGTTCCAGACAGCTGGATCCGGCGTTTCTATTGCAGTATCAGAAGAAAAGGTCAAGGAGATGGGAAATATGCTCAGCAAATCATCTTCATCAATTGCTGTGGCACAAAGACCATCAAAAGTACAAAAGCCTGGTTCACAACCCTCAAAGACTTCTCTGGCAGTGTTCCAGACAGCTGGATCTGGAGCTTCAATTACYGTATCAGAAGAAAAAGTCAAGGAGATGGGAAARATGCTGAACAAATCTTCCAGAAATAGATSGGGAGAAAKGGTTAGGGATAGGGGAAAAAYGATCAATGCATCTTCTTCATCAACCAATGGGTCACAAAGACCATCGATAATTCAAAAAGCARATCTTAAATCGATAGCGACTTTTCAAACAGCTGGGTCTGGCGTTTCTATTGCGGTGTCGGAAGAAAAGGTCAAGGAGATGGGAAAAATGCTCGATAGATCCTCTTTGTCAAGCAATGGACCACCAAATTCATCAACACTGGAAGAATCTAGTTTCCAACCGTCAAAAACGGCTCTGGCAACATTCCAGACAGCTGGCTCTGGAACATCTATARCTGTATCGAAAGGAAAGATCGAAGAGATGGGAAAGTTGCTCAACAAATTGTCCACTAATGAAGCAAAACGACCGTTGAYAGTGAAGAAATCYACTTTTCAACCGSCAACGGTTCCATTGGCAATGTTTCAGACCGCTGACTTCGGAGAATCCATTAATGCATCGCAAGAGAAGGTCGAGGAGATGGGAATGATGCCGAAGAAACCAARCATTGAAGCACCAGAATCACCGGCATTCAAAAGCAATCTGGGACCATCGAACACTGCTACTGTAATGTTCCAGAGAGATAGTTCTAGAACTTCCATATCTTTATCAGAAAAGGTTAAGGACATGGGAAAGATGCTCAATACGGTGTCCTCATCCAAGGCGCATCCATCTCCCAGTACAGCAATCGCGTCCGAAAAAAGCCAAGAGAAARCATCAGCAATGCAAACGAGTCCTTCAATGGAWTTGTTCCGAACGTCGAAAGAGGGGGAAACGACCCTCAACGAGCCCTCTGCATCCGACCAGGAGAASATTACCAGCACGAGCCAATCAGAAAATTTTTCGTTGACAACGATGCCAAGTCACTCGAAGCAACCAGGAATGCCAATAGCAACTGCGTCAAACGGCGTTCGAGACTCCATAATGGGAACAAATCGATCAATACCAACAGCTATGTTCCAGACCGCTGGATCTGGTGCTTCTATATCAGTGTCCCAAAAAAAGATCGAAGAGATGGGTTTGATGCTCAGCGAGTCATCTTTTTCTTCCGAAGATCCAGGTTATAGTAAAACTCTCTACGAAAGGCCGTTATTTACAGTGACTCAGGCAAGCAACTCATTCCAGACACCGAGAGCAGTAACAAAGACGAATGATGATTTTCCAGCCATTACAAATGAAAAAKCAGGGTCAACAAACTTGCCCATTCCTATGTTTCAGAAAATCTCTTCTRACACTGAGACAGATGCTTCTAAAACGGAGCAGATTGAAGAAACAGGAAGACTCTCGCTTTGCAACACAGATCCAATTTGTCAGAAAATCCACACGGATTACGAATTGTCGACTAGGACACCAATCACCGYGTTTCAAATTCCAAGGCTAGTAACTGCTGCCAAAGATTCAAATGCAGCTGGTAGGCCAACATCATTCTCTATATTCCAAACAGCAGGAAGCGGTAAAGCAATCGAAGTTTCAGAAGAAACTGTCGAAAAAATGGGTTTCCTGCTGGAGAAGCCAAACTCATCAGATAACGCTTCAGCTAGTAAGAAAGTACCATCTAGAGCAACGGAGCCTTCGTCKSAAAGTTWCTGTGCAACGAAGCCTGCCGAAGTTTCTACGATGACAGAATCAAACTATCCAGAGAGAAGTCGTATAGATGGGCATGACTTTGTCGAGGCGGGTTCATCTTCCTACTCGTACTCCCCATTAAGAATAAACGAGGCGAAATCTGATTCGTCACCGTTGTTGAATCACGAAACAGTTACCTGCACACCACAAAAAGACACCCTGTCGACACCCCACCAGAAAGTTGCCAGGTGGGACTCTATAAGACGCACAACATTTGGTATTACACCTCAAAGTGGTTCAATAAACAATAATTTAAGTTCGGTTCGTAGTGGTAATGGTGGGGCGTTAATGTCGCASTCGTCTACGGACRATAATGCCAGAGACAACACCAATGTATTTGATGGCCAAAAAGCACAAGACGTGCATTTATCTCCACAAGGATCGAAGCCATCTTCTATGTCTGCGAATGTCACCATGTCCTGTGACGATAGAACAATAGCCAGGAAAACGAAGTTAGATCGAAATTGCCTAATGACTCCCGTTCCATTCGATGTAAACACGCTAGATGGTGCGGAGACAAGAGTGAGGGAGCAGAGCCCTGCTGAGTTGACCCTTCAAAATGCGATTCGTCTTGGTAATATGAGTACATGTCCCAGTTTGTGCCGACGTCATGGAGTAAGAGAAGTAACATTGATGATCAACTATACCAATTCTTTACAGTTGAGATTTGATAGTGACGGTATGCCTCTTGCTTTGGCGTCAAACGAAGAAGATTCACCTTCAAATCTCAATGGAAGRTGTGCAGATATTCGTCAATCCTTGATTGATAATGGTTGCGATGCAAGYCGACTCAAAGATGCGTGGATCCGTAATCACACGAAATTGGTTGTCTGGAAACTTGCATGTTACGAAAGGAGYTTCTCTCAGTTTTTAGCAGATAAACATCTGACCTATCACAATCTGATACAAAACCTTRTTTCTCGCTTTCAAAAGGAAGTTATTAGTGGCCTTCGACCAGCGATTCGCAAAATACTCAACCGTGACGTTGCCGCAACCAAGATGATGATTCTTGTTGTTTGTCGAATACTTCCGTCGTCCGAATCTAAAAGCAACGATACCTCACCACAATCAACAAAGATCGAGCTTAGCGATGGGTGGTATTCCGTAAAAGGCTGCCTTGACGCTAACCTGTCGGAATRTGTCAAGAACGGTTGGATTAAAGTCGGAACGAAACTACTTGTTTCGAACGCCCGTCTAGTAGGTGCGGAAGATGGCATTGATCCATTGGATGAAGTTGTCGGGGGCAACTGTCAAAATTGTGCTGCAACACTCCAACTCACAACTAATGCCACAAGATTAGCAAGGTGGGATGCAAAGCTTGGATTCTTGAAAGCATCGAGCACTAAACGAAATCCAAAGGGGCGATTATTGGTGAATCGAATCTCAGATGTGGTGGTTGGTGGGGGGAACATTCCAGCCATTCGGTTATTCGTRCAACGAGTATATCCTATGCTCTACTACGAAAAACGTGGGTGTTCTGATGATTYTGCCGACKTTTCTTGTTCCAAGCCTAGTGTCTTCACYGAACAAGAAGAAGACAGTAGGCGCAGAGAGTTCGAAGCGAGAAAGCTTCGAGCGATAGAAAAGGTGACTGAAAAGATCCAAGCAGAGATTGAAAAGGTATGTATATATAGAAGCTTTTGCRTTATGTTGTAAARCATSAAATCCCGTCTAATTTWAAAAAATCCAATYTATTTTTGGTAGGAGGTCGACGAGGGTTGTCCAGAAGTCTGGAAACAAATGATGGGCAGTTCAACTCCCGAAGAGACTTTCGAATCTTTTAGCAATCACGACAAAGAAGTAATTTCTAGATGGAGGGACCAACGCACTTCTTTGGTAAACCGTAGGGTCAGAGAAGAAGTTGAGTCCGAGCTAGAGAYACAACCATCACTCATCCGCGAAAGCACAAGTTTTCTGCGAGTCAAGGTGTACAGCATCAATCCAAAAAGTTCTTGTAACGAAAGTGCGACGCTGACTATCTGGCAACCCACCGAAGATCAGTTGRGTTTTCTCACAGAAGGCACGTCCGTGGAGTTTCACAACTTGGCCGTTCGAGAATCAAAAAGCTAYGATGGCACTYTGCAGCTTGTTGCAAACAACCGGACAGTTGTTGAACCATTTTCATTTGATGCATSTTCACTCGCSGAGAAAATTGGATTTCGACAGCGCCAATTCTTGAGTATGTTTCAAGTGCATGCACTTGCGCATGAAACGGTAGGCAAGCGATCCAGGACCAAAACCAGCGTTGATTTCGACGTAGTGGGAGTCCAGGTYCATGTTGTTCCACGTACCAACTCATCGGATGAGGTTATTTTCTACATATCCGATGAAACAAACCTCGTTCTACGAATTCATTGTAGAAATCCACCCTCTGCACTGAAGACGCTAATTTTGGCCGAAAAACAATCCTTTCMGTCCTATGGTATGCGGGATCTATCCATCCGTTCGTTCGACTACGAGAAGCAATGTGCAGTTGCCGAGTTCAGAGAGACATCTAGCGTTGTCCTGACAAACAAGCGTTTAGAAAATCTGGGGAAATGGGCTTCATCGTCAGCGCACAACGAGTTGCACCAGATCACGGCCTACCTCAATGCAGGYCTTCCTATTTGGGAACAGGAGTGCAATGAGAAGACGTACTTAGGATATGCAATAGGGCTCAGGTGCGAAAGCGTCGAAAATGTATTCATCATTGCAGATTGCTGTGGTCAGGGGACAAATGAATGGAAGCTTCCCGTCCATGTTTTGCAGCAGATGATATCCTCGATTTCAGAAGAGAATCTTCGAGTGACTCTTTGTCCGGACGAGGAAGACTTAATTGCAAAACTAGGGAGGATAGGTTCCATTCTTCGAGCAAGAGGCGTTCTTTGGCAATTTCAGATCTCGTCGCAGTCCGAATCGGTTGTTTACAGCGCCACCAAGGCAAGCAAGACCAACGTTGGTCACATTTACGCGGCATTACAGCAGTAGTTTAAAAAGTAAGGATGATGCTATTTTCTATCTCCATTGGGACAATCTCTTGCGATCTTTCTATTTCTATGGTTGTGCTTCGTTTGCGTGGCGCCTTCGCTTGCCTGTCTGCTGCTCGCCGGATTCGCTGTTCCGTTGTCGGCTGATCCGATCTCGTTTTTGTGCRATCTTCTTTATTAACGATCGCTGCTCGGGGACGATATCTCGGTCAAAGGGCTCTTCGTTGCGCATGACGACGATTGTCCATGCGAGTATTCCTCCGATCGATACGGGGGATACTCTCCGGATAGGTGATTTCCAGTATTTACCCGATAACTTTTCTATGTTTGCAATGAGAGCGATTGGTGACCCACCCGCAAGCATAACCATTCGTCCAGTGCTGGTTCTCAAGACCCGGGCGCACTCGAGAAATACAAGAGGCAACAGTTGATTGAGGGAGTTGACCGACAAGCATTGCTGCCCAAAGGGCAGATCCGATACCGCTATGTCGGCGCTACTAGTTCGCATCGGCAGATGTGCTGCGTCCCATGCGACCAAAAGACTGCTGGTGGTGTTAATAATGGCAYCCCTGCTAATGTTCTCGTTGATTCCAGCAATTCTGGTATATTTCGGGTTGTTCAGGACCAGATCGCCCCCGATGGCCAGGCAGCACGGGTCCTGGCTCCGACCACTTCGAYTGTTGCGAGTTGGTTGGAGGCAGGCCTGGTAGCATTCGGCCTCCACAGGKATGGTGCCAATCCCCGCACACGGATCCAACACCACRTCACACGACCGAGGATTCGCCATTTGCAAGAGGAGATGAGCGGTGGTAGGGCGCAGGCGAACGATCCCCTGCGAAAGGATATCTCCTCCGAGATATGGCACAGTAACATCGGGTGGTATCTGTCCGGCCTCGAACGACTTGCTGCGTAGAAAGGAATACGGACAGAGCGATATTCCAATGGCCAGCTTGCCAGTTGTAGATCGAAGGCCTGGCGGTATGATGAGCAACACTAGCTCGATGTCGAATTTGTCGAGGTCTACCGTCCAGCCGCCAATTTCTTCTTTCTCCCGAGCGTGGTTGTCGTTGTCGTTGTCGCTTTTGTCGTTCTTGTTTTTGTTTTTCGGATTCTGCTGATGATAATTTGGAACTAGGTCCGATCCACAAGCATCCATGATTCCCCGGCAGAGCTCTTTTCGGCTGTACRCAAAGAGTTGTTCGGACAAAGCTTGGAATTTCTTTTTGCGCTTTCTCGAGAACGAGGATGGCAAAAGGGATGGCTCGACCCGCATGCACGACATGCGAAAYCGCAATCGGTTCTCCCGAATCCGCTGCTGAAGCCCTTCAAAGTCCGATGGGGACAGCCGGTTTCTCCACGTTGTTTCGATGCAATCCTTCCAGACACGAAAGGCACGATCGAGTCGCTCGGAAAAGAGGGAGGRGTCCAAYCGAATGTGCCGCGTTGTTTCGGCCACCATTTCTTGCAGAGAATGCTGGTAATACCGCTGGTAACACGAACCGGGTCCTCCGGTTGGTTGTCGTTGTTGCTGCAGCTGCTCTCCATCGTTCCGGCTCGATTCGTTCGCCGATGGTGGCGRTGCTTCTCCAACAGATTGGAGGCACGAGTTGTCGGTTTGCACAGATACAAGCGCCAAGAGAGGCCCCAACGACCTGGACGGAGCCACCACGGTACGACTGATGCGTTCCTGGTTGGTTTCCAGCTGCATCCAAACGCTGCCSGCCATTTGGCCCGTGCAGGTCCAGGTTGGAATGCATGGTGGCGGTCCTGCAGTTTTACCTACACCCACACCCGCACATGAATCTATGTCTGCAGCTCCCCTAGCATCCGGGACAGAGCAGTAACCGATGCTGACGTGCTGTCCCGACGACGACAGCTTCACGGAACCCACCGAGCACCCGGTAGGGAGCCATGCAGAAGAGATGTGTTCCTCGAGCTGGGCCTTGGTGCGCTGGTGTGGTGCCGGGGTTTTCYTCTCCTTATTGCCTCTGTTGGATCCCCCCTGATGCGCGGGAGGTGCGTCTTGTCGTTCGCGTTCGCGTTCTCGATGCCGTTTTGCCTTTTCTTCCCTCTGCCGCGAAAAGTCTCTCARGGCCTCCCRCATGGTTTCGTTGTCTTCCTCCTCGTTCCAGATGGTCACCTTCAGAACTGCGTCATTGTCATTCTCGCTTTTCTTTCTTTCGGGGAGCGCTTCACTGTCGTGGTTCTGGTTCTGGCCTTCGCTGCYTGCACGTTCTCGCAAGCTTGCAGAAATCTCTCTCTGCAATCCACGGGGGACTATCGCAAGGTATGAGAACCTCGACAGCGCTTCGTTCTTGTCTCGTTTCAKTGTAAATGGCTTCATGAGCTGGCCAACTCAATTTAAACATCKGGAAAGATGGATACTAGTGTGCTGTGCAATACCTCGCAGGCAACAAACAGAGCATTCGAATTCGTTCCCGTTCCAACATTTGGATTGCAATCAGTAAATGTTTGATTGAATTTTGGAGCCGATAGAGGGTGATGGGTGAAAGAACTCGTGACTGAGCGATCGCTGGCTCGAATGGCCAGTCTCGAGTCTCGAGTCTCACCGTAGGAACTAGTTTATGSCCTTCTACTCGAGCATGAGGTTCTTCGATCCCATCATGACAAGTGACAACGAAATCTGAAATCAATCAAAAAAGGACACGACCGAATTCACTTCTATCATTTCCATTCGCCTCAGATCACCCACTCACAGTACTGTGCGATACGTACCRGCTACGGTGGGACGACACCGACGAAACAGATGATTTGATTTCGGTTGGAATTCTTTTTTCTTTCTCATTCATAGCTTGTGCGTTTCTTTCTACTTTGTCAGTCGACGATCAACATTGCTTGACGACTGCCCCGAATCAGAGCAAGTAAACAAACTACAATAAATCGGACGACATCCTTGCTCTCTACCAGAAGCGAAACGAGATTCGAATTAATTGTCGTGTTCCATCACTATATTTCTTCTGAATATGACTATGAATATTCTAAAGCTGCCACACACTAGCAAGCACGTATCTCTTTTGAGACATTCCGTTCGCCGGTGTTCTGTCATGGCACAGCGACCCCGCGACGCCCGCATTGCTCGTCCCTCTTCGCTCGGCACTGGGGGTACGTGCAGCCGGGGTTTTTCTTCCACGTCTCTGGCCTCGTCGTCGTCCATGGGGGACTTTTTCAATCCGACCGAAACCCACGCCCAGCTGCGAACAATGCTGCGGGATTTTGTGAAGAACGAGGTCGAACCGCAGGCACTGGAGTTCGATCGGACCGAGRCCCTCAATCTCYCTCTGCTCCAGCAGCTGGGGGACCTGGGCTTGCTCGGGCTGACGGCGGGGGAGGAATACGGCGGGGCGGGCCTCGATGCCTCCGCCGTTGCTCTGGTGCACGAGGAACTCTCCTACGGCGACCCCGGGTTATGCCTGAGCTACCTGGCGCACTCCCTCCTGCTGGTCAACAACCTGAGCGTCAACGGATCAAAGGAGCAAAAAGAGAGGTTCTTGCCTTCCATTGTGACGGGGGAACAAATTGGGGGGATGGGAATGAGCGAGCCCAATGCAGGTATGTACTGTGAYGTACAAGGACTCTGTAGGTCTTCTGTTGCATCGGAAGGACACAGGCATAATCTGCCGCKGGCAATTCTTTAGTAYGTGGTGACTCACATATTTTTCGTGACTCGATACAATCTAAATCCAAATCAATCCAACGACGAACAATCCAWTCAACGAATTGACTCCAATACAACGCTGCATTCTTTCAAACGAAAACCGACCTCACGGCAGGAACCGATGTTCTGGGTATGTCCTCCAAGGCTGTGCGGGACGAATCGACGGGGTCGTGGCACCTCACCGGCCGAAAAATGTGGATCACCAATGGCACGCTCGACGGTGGCAAGACGACGGGGGATTTGTTCTTGGTATACGCCCGCACCGGACCGAATCGAAGCGACGTGACCAGTTTCGTGGTGGAAAAGGACATGCCGGGATTCTCCGTGGGCCAGAAAATCGAGGACAAGCTGGGAATGCGGGCTTCGGTACGTTCATGTACGATTCACTAGTATTACTTGCTTGAGCAGTTCGGTGTAGTAGACTTTCTGTAGCTTATTCATTTASCCATGRCTGCGAACCCAATTCGTTCTTTATTTCTCGCATTGCTGCAAACAGCCCACTGCGGAACTYGTCTTTGACGACGTCCCCATCCCACCAGAAAACATAATTGGAGAAGTGAACGGTGCGACCCTGTGCATGATGCGGAACCTAGAAATCGAACGGATCGGGCTGGCGGCCATGGCTCTTGGGATTGCCCGGCGCTGCATCAACGTCATGACCCATTACGCCACACACGAACGCAGAGCCTTTGGAAAGCCCCTAGTAGACTTTGGACAGATCCAATCGGCCATTTCCACCTCCTATGCCGAATACATGGCAGGCAGATCCTACGTCTATGCACTGGCGCGATCCCTAGACCTAAACTCGTACGGCAACGGATTGGATGCGGACGGAACCAAGCTGTACTGTGCCCCAATGGCCAAGACGATCGCCGATCGCGCTATCCAGGTACTTGGTGGATACGGGTACGTGGGGGAATACAATGTCGAGCGGCTCTGGCGCGACGCGAAACTGCTCGAGATCGGTGGCGGCACCAATGAATCCCACCACAAAAACATGGTGCGGGATCTAAAACGAATGCCCGAGCTGGAATGAACGAGCAAGCATAGCACGTGCCTTGTATGGATCGCATGTTCATACRCAGGAGAGATCGGTCCATCACGGCTTGAAAAAAAGAGCCGTGCAAKTTATGGTATGCTTGCTGTGCGTTGTGGATTGTATTTTTGATTGGAACACCATCGCAGCACAGTATTGCAAAGGATGCATGCATTGTCACGATGCAATGCATACGCACGTTGTAGYACCRRCCRCCCGGGACTMTTTACCTTTGTACGATCAACCAAAATCAAAGAAGACAGAACCGTATCGTCATAGGACCTTTTGCAAAAYGCAYAATGAAAAGCAGTACACAAAACGCTTAATTTCTAGAACGAGAATTTGTTTGGATTTCGGTTTTGGTTTTTGCTTCCGAAASAACTAGTCATMTACAGAGAAGCTTTAGAGTARCTGTGGTAATTTACGATTGGGATTGGTTTGTCACTTGAAAGGAGTTGACGCTGTCTTCCAAAGCCGGGCCGTCTACGCCATTCGTATAGTCCTGCTCCAGCCCAGACGCAAAGACCGCCATTATGTTTCCATCGTTGGAGTCCAGGGTCGCCTTGGCCACCGTAATCCGAAAGAGCCTAGAGAGACCCGTTTGCTCCAGGAGCAGCTCGGGCTTCTGGACGTCTATCTCGGTCTTGAGCCGAAAGGTGAGGGTTTTGCCATCCGGCGTCAGTTCGACCGAATCCAGGGTTTTCGTGCCCTGGGTCTGGTTGTCCTTTTCTCGCCTCACAATGATGAGCGCAGCGACCGCTTTGGGGTCCCCAATGCCGGGAAAGGTACTCAGGTCACCGGTTGCCTCGATCCCGTTTTCTTCCAGGAGCACCCTGCTTGGGAATCGCTCGACGGCGATCACCTCGGCCTTGGCCATGTTTCCCGCCGTAAAGATGCTGCTCCCACGTCTTCCCTTGCCCGTCTTTGCGTCCGGAAGGTCTCCCTTTTGCGTCCGTCGCAGCGTGTAGAATCCCTGGGGAACCCTCAACGAAAACAAGCCCGCGGGGTCGACGAACTCCTTCATCGCGAGGGGCGTCGGCGCTTCCGACGCCGCAACAACGGCATCTTCTGCGGATACCGGCAACGAGACCAGTRTGCTGCTAGCAGCGGTCACCATGATGCCGTGGAACCAGTTTCTTCTCGAGGAAACCAACGGTCCACAGAACAYCTCTTCGACATCCTCGGTGCTAGCGAACACTGCCGACGGCGATGCGCGCCTCTGTTCGAGCTGGGGAGAAAAGGCCCACGTCGGTGTTGTTGCGTGCGCAAACACCAGCTGCAAGACCAACAGGGTCGAAAGTTTTGTTTTCATCATCTTCAGCGCTTCCTGCTTGTGTGGTCCTTCGAATAATGACGTAAATGAGGTGTCGTCAAATCTAGAGGATGTATTTTATTTGTTAGTAGTAGTTTCCAATCTCAAACCGACTATGTCGAGAGCAGACCGAAAGCTGATTTGTTGAAGATCGTTGAATTTAATTTTGATCACTACCGGCAGGAATGTTCTACGGTACTCGTACTACGTACTAGTTCTTCTTCATTACGCATACATGGCTCAACCCTGCCATTACGTACGTACGTACTGTACGTACCTAACTGTGAAACTAGTACAATCTACCTAGAACCTAGAGCACGAGAGTGGGATTTCAGATCTCGGGGTCTAAAGTAGGATTTTCCTACGTGTGGTACGAAACTCRCAGTCATACAGTGCTGTACTATGTATGTATGGTACCGTACGGTAAGGCAATACCGTTAAAAACTCCATGTTGATTGTTGATGGCTCATCTACCGCATGCGTGTTTTTTCATTCCTGCAATAACTCAGTCACGCTTGAAGTTGAGAGCTCGCGCGCGTACAACTCTCTCTACACAGTATCCATTCCCTACTGGTCACTTTTAGGTGGTATGGTACTCGTACCTACCTACACGCCTACACCAAACTGCTGTAACTACTGTACGATACATTTTAAGGACGTATTTGTACGTATGGTACAGTACTCTTACCTGCACCGTACTTGTTGTACAGAGCAGGTTTACCGTAAACGTGCCACGAGAACGATGAAAAATCTTCTCTTCATCTCTCTAGCGAGCGTTTCTGTCAGATCTTGATTCCCAAAAACAAAAACCACAACTTCATTCATTTTCCATTTCAACTAAATTCACCTCAACACAAAAGGTAGTGGTGTCGATCAAAACATCATGTGTTGTCGATAAAAAAGCATCCACCTTCCTCCGGCGTGAACAAAACGAAAGCCGTGGGACAACGTAATCATTTGCGTAACACAATTATTTCATTGGGATGCCGCAGTGACAAAGAGTGTACCGATACAATCATCGGTGGAAACAATCCCGTTTACTTCAACCTYATTCGTCTGCGGCATAGTTTCCGTGCGCTTTCTTCCTCGTCTCCTGTATGAACACTTSTCTGTCGACATTCTGTAAAGATAAATTGCGGGTGCAATTGGAATAGAAGCGGTCACTTCCCCATGGTGCACCTGTTCCATCAGGAGAGTTTCGCCTTCTGCCGAAAAAGCTCCTTCAAGGGACCCGGATTTAACAAAGAACAACAATTTTGGATATCTTCAATGTGCACGAATCGAATAGGTCGAATCTGATCGAATGGGTCGAAATAGAACTTGCGCATTGGTGACGCATTCAGAACAATTGGGTTCTCCGAAGTGTCATAGTTGTGCAAGTTGATGGTGTATGCAGATGGTATGCATCATCATCGGAATTTCGCCAGAACTTACGACACACCATCGCATTTCTGGTGACAGAAATTCTGTCAACAACAATCAGCCCGAGGGAACCAATCGGATTCAAGGAGAGAAGGGATTCAACCAATCAAATATCAAAACCGATGGGACGGAGTTTCACATTGATTGGAGCTGCAATTCTTACGCAACTGTGAGCTGATGACACATCAATCGCCGTATTCGACGGGTGGCATTTAACAATCTCCTTGGTACTAGGTACACGTCACTATCTACATGAGAACCAAAGACAGATCCATGCTGGACTCAGTCCCACAGCCGTGTGCACCACGGAGCAATGACGAGYGAAATGCTGCTTGGTTGTAGACCAAAACCGAGARCTCTACGGCACTTTTTCCTATGGCAAAGCAAGGATGCCAAGACGAATTTCGAGACTCAGCCAACAATATTCATACGCATGCCTATCGTTTTCGAAGAAGAAATGTTCTGGTGAAATCGAACGAAGAAAAAACGTTTATAATTCTTCTATCGCTCAATCAATGCRTTATTCAGAGACATCCTCTTCCATAAATTTATCGCCAACATCAATTCACAACTTGGACGAACAGTTTCATTGCAGGTAAGACACGACAGAATAGAATGAGCCAGCGAGACCCCAACCCCAAGCGATGATTTCTTGAGGATATGGTAGAGATGATGGAACAACAAAGTGTGTCATTGCTTTCCGAAAAAGAATATCGCGTAAACTCTTTTCTCCGAAGAGAACGATGAACGTACTKTATTCGTACCTTTTTCATGTGCGTTTACGAAATAATTAAGAATTATCTTTTGTCTTGCTCAATAAATTATATCGTTCTTCCGACTGATTTTTCTACAGAACTACCTATCAATTTCATGTCAAGCCACATAATGTTTTCCAAAACTTTCATTTTGTTATCCTGGTTAGCCTCTCCTGTTGYTATCGTTGCCTTTCGCGGTACAGAGAATCCGACAGGACTCAAGGGACTCGAAACTCCCCTGGTTCTCAAGGAGCCTCGGGTAATTGCATCTGAAGTCGACGAAATGAAGAACCTCATTACCATGGACACCATGAGCGAAGTGGGAAAGGCTATTACGGCGGATGACATGGCYCGCGGTGCCAGTGCTCGAAAACGCATAGAGATTGGAATATTCAATGCCCCGAGCGACTACGTCGAAGAGTACTGGTACAATCCAACGATCCATACGTTCGGAAACATTGGGATTTTTGGYGGCTTTCATGCTGCTCTGGCTCCAATCAGTACCAAAATCATAGACATGGTTGCCTATGATGGAGAAGATATTCGATCTACCGTAAGTTTAGTGCGATGCAATACGTTGCAGAGAAATCAGGAATGCGGATGATTTCGTAGAGTTTGTGTATGTGTAATTGTGTATGTTTGTTTGCCGCTATTCGCRTCACTAACCGATTCWTTTGTTTGCTAATTCATTCGTTTCTGTTGACTRTATCTTTGTCTTCGTTCAAGGTCGCACAAAAACTCTCAAGAATTGTCGAGGCCCGCACRAGCAGGTGTGGGAGGCCGGCCAGAGTGCTCGATATGTGTTGTGGAGTCGGCATYTCTACCCGTGCATTACAAGACGCCTTTCCGGACTCTGATTGTGTTGTCGGCTTGGAYACGTCTCCCGAAATGGTCAACATGGCCAWTTTTTTGACAACCCATCTTAGTTTCGTGAAGCCCCTCATGGCGCTYGTAAYTCCCGACAAGTCAAAAAAGAACAAGAAACCCAACTTACTCGCACRAAACTGGGGATTCTCTTCYAGGAGRGCRCAATTCTTTACTGCCAACGCAGAGCGAACCAATTTCCCGAGCAAAACRTTCGATTTGGTAACCGTAATGTACGCATTTCATGAAGCTCCCGAAATCGGCAGAGAAAAGATTCTTCAAGAGGCTCATCGGGTTTTGCAACCTGGTGGCACACTTGCTGTAATCGACATAAGCACCGACTATACACCATCARAGCCCATGTTGGCCGGAGAGCCGTAYGGTAAGTATCATGTTGATGAGATCTCTCAGCTTTTCTCCACTGTTTTCCTATGGCGGTGATTGTTCTTATCTCATTAGAAAAAGACTAAAGAATTAACTTTTCTTTCAAACTCTCGATCRCTACATCTGCAACGACCATATAGTCCTCGAGTACCAAAAGAATATCCATCGTCAAATGCGCTCTCTCAAAGGATTCACAAAGGTTCAATACCAACATCTCGTCCAAGATCACGTTGGYATTTGGATTCTAAAACGCACCAATTAAGATCCAAAGAATTGTACCAGTCGATGAAGTAAACACTGCAARTACAACTACCATACAACGACTCCAAATGAATCAGAATGCAACTACTGGCGGGCAGACCATGCTGCTCAATTCACACACATCGGATATTTCGGGGGCAACCTTATGACGTATGTAACCAGGGTGCCAACAGACAAAAAGATCACACACATCAAGAACAACTCCGTGGTAACTCGATCCGAAACATTTCGTTTGTATGAACAGTAACCGTAATGATATCAATGACACTTTRCAAACAGAAAGGGCGAAACAAAKAMAACCACCAATGTATRCTGTATACTGTAATAAAATTAAAATTTCAACAAAYGACTATTTCCTTCCTTGCATTATGATTTTGACGYATTRCGTTGAAACCTCGTACCTTAAAATTACAAAAACCATCAATCTCAATTAGAATGTCTTTTGTWAGAATGACTTGTAGTTCTCACTTTCTTCACGTACACATTTTTGCTAGAAGGTTCTTCCCTGTAAAGACATTAGTTGTCAGAATCTGGGATGYCATTTCCTTGCATACTCCCTTCTCCTACTAGTAATGATGGCAAAAGGTGTTTGGGCAAATCCCTGGAATCCATGGCATTTGTTTATCAGAGTATTTTTTTTGGTTTCCAGAATTATTTCAAGACTTGTAGTCATTGTACAAGAACGTTCGTTGCGCTGAATATTTCACTCACTGTGTTATTGTGTCTTCTCCTCTTGAAATTGTTTTGTTTTGGTGATACTGCTGCCCCTAATATCTGTCTTACCAAGTACTCAAACTCCATTGTGTTCTTTTGTCTGTATTTTTGGTTTAACACAAAGGACAAACTGTCTTTCTTGCACTCTATTATAAAACAATTTTCTGTAAAAGTAACCAGAACCAAACCATTTTTTTGTTGTCTACTACCTGTATCCAACAGGGAAACAAATTGTTAGACTCAACAATTCTTTTATTGCAATATCTGCAACGTTGTGCAACTTACCCTTGTAGTTCTTTTGAGCCAGAGTCTGTGTGTTATGCCTGCATGCAGTTACTGCCCCATTGGCAGTTCCTGCCCAATAACTGGAGGAYATTACTAGGTTCTCCAAGGCATCCTTCCCACTGCAAGTTTCTTTTACCTCTTTTCAAGTATGTTTTCCATGACTTTATCCTTTACCAGGAACTTTTTATGCCTGAACAAAATATTCCTTACATAGTTACAAAGTGTTTATTTCAACAATGTCTCTACTACATGGCCCAGTCTTTTCTCACAAGCAAACACCATTCTCTCCTCTTGTTCTTCATTATGTCCAACTACTTGCAAGGACATGTCTGTTAATAAGCTGTAGACAAACGAGATACAAATTTCTGCACCACTGTACATGTCAAATTGGTGGTTCATAGTAACTGNTACTTGCAAGGACATGTCTGTTAATAAGCTGTAGACAAACGAGATACAAATTTCTGCACCACTGTACATGTCAAATTGGTGGTTCATAGTAACTGATTAGCTTGTGTTAGTAGTGTTTCTAGCTATTCATTGACAAACAACACACACTCCCTCTAGTACATATGTCTGAACCTAGGAATACCTAACTTGCTTACTTACCTGACAATGTTAATATATCCTCTAACCCAATACTTCCATAGTAGTAATAGTTTAAAGTTGTCCAGATCAATTTTACTTGAAAGCCATACTGTAAGACTATCCTTTTTTTAGTGTAGTACTGTACATTTTTGAGGTGATAGTAGTATGTGTGAAATGGAAAACACACTAATACCTGCCATTCCTTTTCCATAGTGGCTGCTGGTGTGCCAACTTTGCATGTCATCTTCACAGATACAAATTTAAAAGAGATGGGATGATTTTCAAGATAAATTGGAGGAATAAAAATTTCTATTAAAACCACTTCTGCCAACTTGATGAACAAGTTGGAAAAAACTGAGACCTGAAATCTTGTCTCTGCAAGAACTATCATTAAGTACATGAACACTGTCCACAATCAATTAGAATAGTACTTTAAGTACATATGCCTTTCCTCCATCACCAAATAAAGACAAAAATTTCTCATATGACCCCTCTGACTGATCATATACGCAAGTATGTGAAGTTTACATTGACAAGATGGAGAAGTTCTTTGCCCATCTCATGTGTGACATAGCCCTCCTGAAGTTGGCCAGCAAGGGGACTGTTGAGAAAACAATGTGCAATAATAGATGGGATTGCTTACAAAATGTGATGTCGAGCTGTTGTTGGATACCAGCACAGATGCCCAAAAGTACATCCTCCCATCTGAAGAGATGAGCAGCAGGTACCTCAACTCCAAATTTCTGAATCCCCTGGGTGAGTGGCTTTGTTCCTTGTGGCAAAACTTACATTCAACTAATGGCATAAATGCATTTATGCCCCTTTCCCTTGAACACTGTCATGAATCTGTGTTTACTACTACCTATGTACCAAAAGCAAAATTCTAGATTTTCTTTCTTCCCATGCTACACATCTCCAGCTTTGCACGAGATTACGTGTACTCTTAGTAGTAGGTGTTAAGTGTGTATGAAAATTGAATTATAAGATTAGAATTATTCGAAGATTACCAAGCGCGTTCACGAGAATTCCGAAGTTCCGATTGGAA